ATGTGATGGCTAGAGCTTCAGCAGCCATTTTGGGTTCCCAAATGGATCAGCCCTGCTGAGGCCCTGCCCTTTGTCCCCCATCGCCCCTTCCAAGGACACTGAGGCAAGGGAGCTCATGTTTGTGCAGCACTGGCAATGTGCCAGGTGCTATACCTCATGGTTTGTATGTATTATTTCTTCCCACCCACCCCATGAGGTAGGTATGACTAATTCTAATTGGGTAACTTCCCCGTGAAAGTGTTTTGGGCCATATATGGAGCTTAATAGTTAGAAGTCGCAATTGCTGATTCCTACAAAGTGCTGGGCCCTTGAACTCTTGTAGCAGACTTTGAAGGTAGGTGTCCTGATCCTCATTTTACAGATGGAGAAGCTGGAGTTCAGGACATTGTAAGGACTCATCCAGTTACTAGTAAGAGAAAGCTGAGGCTGGAGCCCCTGTTTCTCTGATGCCAAGCTTAAGTTCTTTCTAGTGCCTCGCAGCCAGTAATGTCCACCCTCTGTGGGAAGACACTGCCCCCCCTGACCTCCACCCTGAACCCAGGGATCTAAAAATTCCCTCGTATGGGTGTGTACGGGTCTGTGTTCACTGAACACTGTTTAAAAGCATTTGTGAAGAAAAAAAACGAGGGGCGCCTGGGTGGCACTGTCGGTCGAGTGTCCGACTCTTGGTTTCGGCTCAGGTCAAGATCTCAGGGTCGTGAGATTGAGCCCCATGTCAGGCTTAGCATTCGGCCTGGAGTCTGCTTGGGATTCTCTCTCTTCCTCTTCCTCCTCTGCCCCTCCTGTTTGTGTTGTCTCTTTCTCTCTCTCTCAAATAAATAAATAAAATCTTTAAAAAAAAAAAAAAAGGAAGGAAGGAAGGCGAAGTCAGCAGGCTCTGGTTATGAGAAAGTAACAAAACCGTACAGGGAATTGTCTTCTTGCGTTCTTGAAAACTCATTTGAATAGCTCAGTGTGATTTGTGATTCAAATAGAAATGCAGATGTTATCAACGGAGCCTTTGTGTGGTTCCCAAAGTGTCCCCAGTGTTTCCCCCCACCCTTCTTTCTAAACAAAAAGGAATGTTCTGTCTTGCGCTGGCCTCTGGCACTGAAGCAGACCCTGTGGACTGAGTGTTGGGGTGGGTGGGGGGTGGCACGTTGGTGGCGGGAGCTCTTGGCTGCATTTAAGGAGCAGATCTGAGCTGAGCAGACTGTATAGGCATCATCTCGCCCGAGCCCCATGTGGCTTTGCTCTTCACATGTCGTGTCATTAAGCAAACCACCGTCCCTCTCTGGACATTGCTTTCCTCTTTGGTAAACTGGCAGTGGTTTTCAAAGCTCCCCTCCCCAGCTCATTTCCGTGAAGAGAACATGCCCAGATTTAAAACCCAACTCTGACGCGTCCTAGCTATATGACCTCGGGCAACCTAGCTCTAAGACCTTACCTCTCCAAGGCTCAATTCCTTCAGCTCCAGTCAGCAGCCAAAACCTGTCAACGGACTGTATCCAATAAATTCATCTACAATGTGTTAAGGACATATTATACGCGTGGGGCATTGTCCATGATCACCGTGAGGCATCGGACGTTCTCAGTCTCCCCTACTTTTAACCCACTGACACATCCCAGCACAAAATGGGGTATCTCTATCCTTTGAGGAAGAAGGTAGGCCTTTCTGAGTTCTCAACCTTGTCTTAGTGACCATTCCTGCCCCAAAGGACCCAGATTTTATAGAGAAACATCCTTCACCTTTATTTAATGAACTCTGGAGTGGTCCTGAACCCAGAGGCTTCCCACCCCACTCGATTTGAGAGTCACTGAGAGCTGGAGTCCTGGCATTGGTGACCGGGTGGCTGAGGCTACTGAGGGAGAGCGTGAGGCCCGAGAGCTCAGCTGGGGGCTCTGGGGAGGGCAGGGCTCTGACCACCGCCCCCCGGGGCCCTCACGCACTGTCCTCCTGCAGGTCAGCGGCCACTTAGACTATGCCAAGCAGATGGAAGTCATCCTGAAGACTGTGGGCATCCCCACCAAGCCAGGCTGGGATGAAACAGGGCTTCTGCTGGCTCCCGGCAATCTGCCCCAAGGGCAGTATCACCAGGCAGCAGCCTCCTCCTCGTGGGACAAGGCCACACCCGGAGACACCCCCAAACTGGCCATATCTACCGACCCTAGCCAAGCCCAGGCGCCAACGGGGCTGGACCAATGTGAAGGACCCTCCCTTCCTGCCGCTGCCAGCCCAGCTGAGAGCCCCAAGATCTGCAGCCACGGCATGGGCCCCAACCCACTGGGCTGCCCCGATTGTGCCAGCGAGACCCAGGGGCCTTGCCCAGGGCTGGACTGACCATGGAAGGGGACTTGAGCTGCCTTCCCAGGTACCTCCATGTAGCACTCCCTTAGCCCTCCACCAGCTGCCCCACGTGAGCTCGGAATTTCCATCAGTGCTTTCCCAAGCTGAAGTCTTTGGGACCAAAAAGAACGGAACTGGAAGGAGGGGAGTCAAAAAATAGACAGCTTTCCCTCCCCAAGGAAGGAAGGCCAGAGCCCTGCAGAGACAACCAGCAAAGTTCAGAGCCCTAGGACTCTATCAGCCTTGGGCTTCCTGTATTTCAGGCCACAGCTGTGGGGGCTGGCTGGCCATTTGGGGGCCCAGGGGGCTCCCCCAGCCCAAGTAAATCCGGGTAGATGCCTGCTCCTCCATCCACACGCCAGGGCTGCCCGCCAACCCACAAGCACCACTGATACACCTACAGAGCGGGTGCAGGTGGGGAGCCAGCAACTGACTGCTCTGAGGATGTGCAATCAGATGTGCCTGTACAGTTGTGCAGGCTGTGCACTGCAGAACCCCAGGAGCATGGACCACATGGATGTGATGTGAAGGGTCCTCCCAGTTGTGCTATGTGGCGCCCTGGATGTAAGTGTCACAGCATGGTGAATATATGCTGAGTCAGCATGCACTATGGGTGGGACGTGGGCCCGGTGACAAGGATGAGTTACACAGGGGAAGGATTTCCTATAGCAGGAAGGGGAGACAATGCTTATAATAAAAATAATAATTGAGAATTTAGGACAGAGTGCTTACATGGACTGTCTCAGCTGACCCTACCAATAACCTGATAAGGCGCTGCTATTATCTTCGTGTTACTGAAAGTTCTTAAGACCCAGAGAGGTTAGATAATCTGCTCAAGATCACACAGCTGGTCAGTCTCAGACTCCAGAGCGGGGCTCTCGGCCACTGTATCTGTATCCCCGGGAGCCTCTTCCTGGGTTTCTTCCACTGTGCTTGAATGAGAGGCCAGAGATAGTTGTCTTCCATTGTGCAGACGGGGAAGCCAGGGCCCAGGCAGAGGAAGTATTGACAAACTCTGAGCAGGGCGGGGGAGGCAGCCCAGTGGAAGACTGCAGAAGGAACTAGAATATTAGAGCTGAATGGGTCCCCATGTGTGTGTGTTTGCTTGTTCATTCAACAAATATTTATAGAACCGCTTCTGCCAGTCCAGACAGCTCATGTTGCCCAGGGTCTCATCCCACTTCACCAGCTGCTTCTCCAACCCCGGAGCCCTTCAGGCAAATCCAGTCCACACCACGGTCACTGCCTCAGCTAGTGTTTATTAAGAGTCCACACAGGCAGGCCTGGGGCAGAGGGGAAGCCCCAAAGAGCACCATGGCCCCTCTGTGGCCAGTGACTGGGGCCAGAGTTGAATCTAATCAGCACCAAGGAGAGCGCCAGGCCACGCATGGAGGGCTCCCTGGGAGTTTGGGATGATGGATCCGGGGAGCCTCAGACTGAAAAGGACCTTATGGCAGGTAAACTGGGAACCAAGAGTCCCCCTCAAAAGCGACCCAGGTCCTTATGCCAGGGTTCACCAACCTGCCTGAGGGCAGCAACCCACACCAACTTCTTGCACTTCTTGCACTCCACTTTGTGTTCCTGAGCAGGCTCCAGTCCTGTTTCCCTGGCTGACCCAGGCAATGCCAGGAGGAGGTGGGGCCCTGGGCTGATGTATCCCCATCAGCTGGTTCCCTTCCAGGCCCAAGGAAGTCCAGGACGGAGGGAGACCTATTCCTGGTGCTGAGCAAGAAACTACCAGCTCCCACTTTGCCCTCCAGGAGAGATGGTGCAGCAGCCTGGGACTGGGGACGGGAGTCCCGTCCAGCATCCAGAGCAAGAAGCTGGGGAGCCACGGGCAGTCAGGTGGTGGGATCTAGGCCAGGCCTGAAGAGGAGGAGGGAAACGGGAAAAACAGTGGGAACAAACAGCCCTTTCTGGCCCACAGCGAGAGGCCACGGGGGCTGGATGCCCAGGAGTTGTGACAACGACAGATATCACCTACAGCACTACTTGTGGGTGCTGGGTAGTCTGTACGTGCTCTCCTAATTCTTGTGACACCCTATGATCAGGCATTGTTACCCTCACTTGTACACGGAACACCAGGCTCAGGAAGGTTAAGGGACCTGTGCAAGAGCTGGCGAGTACTGGAGTGGAGATTCAAATTTCTGTCTTCCTGACTCCTAGGTCAGGTTCTGTGCGGCTCCACACTTAACCCACCCACCCCGCCCCGAGACGCTGTCCCGACTGAACACAGATCATCCTCACACTTAAAGATCATCCAAACCTGCACGTCTTAAACTACACTGTGCACACATTTCACCGGGGGCTCCTGCTAACATGCAGATTCTGACGCAGCAGGTCTTGGGTGGGGGTGGGGGGGGTCAAGGTGTGCATTTGTAACAAACTCCAAGGAGGTGACACAAATGCTGGTGGCCCGAGGACTACACTTTCAGGAATGAGGGAGCCAGCCCAGCCCTCATCCACCTCTGCAGACAGAGGCATCCCTCCCCGACCTGCACTCTCATGAAATGTCAAAGATGATTGTCTTCACCCTAAGTTGAACCGAGAAGTCCTTTTCCCCTCTGCCAGAGTCCCCCAGCCACCTCCACACACACGCATGGGTTTTACTCGGCAGTGGGGCATCCTGGAGAAAACCGTCTGAACCAGCTATTTTCCCCCGGGGAGGAGCGGGGGCTGGCTTAGTGCCCCCGCTGACCCTCCGAGGGCTCCCAGGATACCCACAGCCTCCCAGCCTTAGCCAAGAGCTGGTCCAAGGCCTTGGGGACTTGGTTCTATCCAGTACAGCTCCCCACCGACCAGCTCCAAGCCCGGGTCTGTTCGTGGGAGCCCCAAGTGGACGGAGCTGCAGCTGGGACTCCACGGGATCGATGTTGAAGAAACTGACCACCACGGCAGCCCTGGCCAAGGCCGGGGGCTCCCGGGGGGGCCTCTCTAGGCAGCAGGGGCTGGGCCGTGCGTTGCAGGCCGGAGGAGCCACCGGAAGCTGAGCCCGAGTCAGAATTGGAGTCAGGTGGCCGGGGCAGGGGCAGCACATGCTGCAGGCTCAGGCCCGGCCGGGGGCCGCTGTGAGAAGTTCGCATAGAGGGCGAGGCAAGGCTGGCACGGCGCTCCCCAAGGCAGCGGGAACATGGCAGGAACCTGCCCAGGGCCCGCTTGAAGTCCCGCATGAAGAGTGGGTAGATGATGGGGTTCATGGTGCTGTTACAGTAACCCAGCCAAGTGAGAACATCGAAGAGTTCTGGGGAGATGCAGTCGCACACGGCCTGGAGAGATGGTGTACGTCATGCTTGGTCCTGGAGCAGGGTCACAGACCACCCCAGCCAGCATGGATGGGAGAGGCACCACAAACACATATGCCCTGAGAGGCAGCCCACCCTCCTCTTATCCCCATGTCTGGGCTGGGGTGCAGGTCGGGGCCTCCCCAGCAAGGCCTGGACCCACCTGCCCCCTGTGGTGGCATTACCTGGGCTATGTTGGCCACAAAGAAGGGCAGCCAGGTCACAAAGAACATGCCCAACAGGATGCCCAGTGTCAGACTGGCCTTCAAGGCCTTCCTGCTGTGCTTGGTGGTCAGACGTCTATCAGCTGACTCCATCCCCGGGCGTGGGGTCCTGGGTACCTGTGGAAGGAAGGCCACATCCATAAGTTACCTGAGGAAGAGCCCCAGTCTGACCCTGGTCCCAGCCACAGACTAAGCCTCAATCCTAATTCTAGACTGAGCCTTAGTGCCAGCAATAAACTGAGCCCTTCTGATCCTTGACGGAGGCCCAGCTATATAGCCCTAGGTTCCCCAAGAGCAGAACTGACCTTGACTCCAGAGCGAACCTTGATCCTGGCTCTACACTACGCACCGACATCAGCAAGAAACCAAGCCCTGTTCAGGGTCCCAGACTAAGCCCGGATAGTTGCCATAGATTGAGACCTATGTAACCAAGGTCTCAAACGGAGCCACGACCCTGGAGAGCACTGATCCCAGCCTTAGCCCAGACTGTGGCTTGAGTTCAGCAATAGACTGAGCCCTGACCCTGGCCGGGCACTGAGCCCTGACCCTGACACGAGGAGCTCTAGGAAGGATAGTAAGACAAAGCCAACACTATCAGTTCAGGGGAGCCCCTGCCCACCTCGCCAAGGACAATACTCAGTACAAGTCAACACATGTGGCCACGAGCCCCAGCACCACACAAAGCCTTTGACCCTTCAACAACTAGTTGCAATTAAACCATACTTGACAAAAGAGGCCGTGCCACTGCCCAGGATGTGGCAATCTCTTCATAGATTTCCCTCATATTTGGGAGTAGTGATTTTGCCTGCACCCTTACCCTTACGTCACACAGAATACAGTGCTTTTCTGAAAACACATGTACAGAGTAAATGTTTGCAATAAATCCACTTTAGACTTCTAAGGGTGCTAGTGACCTTGGCCTTGCACAACTCAAATTACACTGTGAACTGACAGACATCTTCATTCCCAAACATTGACCTCAAGAGATAGAGCACGGGGAAGAAAAGAAGGAGAAAGGAGCTTCCCCCAGCTGCCGTCGAAGGGGACACAGGCATGAGGAGGTTAGAATTTGAGTTTGCTGGGGTGCCTGGGTGGCTCAGTGGGTTAAAACCTCTGCCTTCGGCTCAGGTCATGATCCTGGGGTCCTGGGATTGAGCCCCGCATTGGGCTCTCTGCTTGGCAGGGAGCCTGCTTTCTCCTCTCTCTCTTTCTCTGCCTGCCTCTGTGCCTACTTGTGATCTCTGTTTGTCAGATAAATAAATCTTTAAAAAAAAATACACTTATAAAAGAAAAAAAGAATTTGAGTTTGCAGACTGGTGACCAGCAGTTCCAAAACACTAAAAAGCTCTGAACTAGACGATCCTTCTCGCCAGCTCTTACCTCAAATTTTTCGACCTCCTGAGCTCACTGAGAATCCAATGCAATCTACAAAACATTTCCCCAGAAAACAAAAAGCATATAAATTGTTACACATGCACACACAGAGAAGGAAAAAACATCCCATAATTCCAGTGGGTTCAGAGACCGCCTCGAGGCCCGACCACGAAACCCCCAATGCCCACGAAAGCTGGGACATAAAAGCCCCCCTCTAAAGTGCATGTTGTAATCAATTTGGATTTTCATACACCAATTTTACACAAAATGAGACCACCTTACATTTATAATTTAAGTAAATACCAGTATGCCAAGGTATGCACAGTTCATTGAACTATGTAAAGGTCGTGTGTGTAGTCTGGGACCATGCCTGGCCTTTAGAAGCGAGGGATTCCTCTACTCTTTTTCTTTCTTTCTCCATCCTTCCTTCCTTTCCTTTCTTTTCCTTTCTTTCTTACCCTTCCTTCTTTCTTTTCTTTTCTCTTTCTTTCTTTCTAAAATTTTTAAGTAATCTTGGGGCACTTGGGTGGCTCAGTGGGTTAAAGCCTCTGCCTTCGGCTCAGGTCATGATCTCAGGGTCCTGGGATCAAGCCCCACATCAAGCTTTCTGCTCAGGAGGGAGCCTGCTTTACCCCTCTCTCTCTGCCTGCCTCTCTGCCTGCTTATGATCTCTCTCTCTCTCTCTCTCTCTGTCTAATAAGTAAAATCTTTTTGTTTAAAGATTTTATTTATTTATTTATTTGACAGACAGAGATCACAAGCAGGCAGAGAGGCAGACAGAGGAGGTAGGGGAAGAAAGCTCCCTGCTGAGCAGAGAGCCCGATGTGGGGCTCGATCCCAGGACCCTGAGATCATGACCTGAGCCGAAGGTAGAGGCTTAAACCACTGAGCCACCCAGGTGCCCCAAATAAGTAAGATCTTTTTTTTTTTTTAATACTTACCATAGTAAGTTTAGTTAACAATCATTACCTCATACAGTTACAGCTTTTGTTCTTTTTTTTTTTTTAAGATTATTTATTTATTTATTTATTTGACAGAGAGAGAGAGATATCACAAGTAGGCAGAGAGGCAGGCAGAGAGAGGAGGAAGCAGGCTCACTGCCGAGCAGAGAGCCCGATGCGGGGCTCGATCCCAGGACCCTGAGATCATGACCTGAGCTGAAGGCAGAGGCTTTACCCACTGAGCCACACAGGTGCCCCCAAATAAATAAGATCTTAAACAAAAAAGATTTTAAAGTAATCTCTACACCCAACGTGGGGCTCAAACTCACAGCCCCAAACTCACAGTTGCAAGCTCCTCCAACTGAGCCAGCCAGGTGTCCCTCCTCCAAAATTTCCTATACTGCAGGAGAGCCCAGCTTAGCTCTTGAGGGAGCCAGAGGTGGGCTGATTACAGAGTAATTGAAAAAGTCAGAAGGAGGTAGGAAGGGAACCAGATTTCCAGGCAACCTTCACAGATGGAAAGGGGGTGGAGGAAGCAAAGCCAAGAAGATGTGTTAGTCCCGGGAGCACCAAAGCCAAACCCCCACCCGGGTCTGGCGCAGAGAGGCTCCCTTTTAGCCCTGCCATGTCTCCCTGCCTCCCCAGGGCATCCAGACTTTGGTGTCCTGTCCATGGTGCTGAAAGCCCAGGTAGATGCCATCATCTTTAAGATTAAGGATGCTAGAATGGCGGTGGGCAGGATCGGGGAGATGACGCACACTGTAACCCCCACCTCTCAGTATGTTTATCCAGGTGAAATCTGGTTATATGAATACCAAGGACAAATTCACAAAGCACAGCCTAAGAGAAGCCTTTGATTTCTCCCCTCCGTCTTGGTGGGGCCGCCTTGTGCAGAGGCAAGAGCTGGACTTGTAAGACAAGTGATCTGGCTTCAAGTCATGCCTCTACCACTTACTCGCTCTGTGATCTTGAGACAGTCTCTGTTTCCACATCTGTAAAATGGGAAAAACAATACTCAGCTTGTGGAGTCGTTGCGAGGCTTTGGATAATAAATGCATGCACAGTGCCTGACACGGAGTTAAGTGTTACATACACAGTAGCCCTGAGGTCGGTTCAGTGCTGTGTGTTGGAGGCTGGGGGAATTTTGAGCACCCTCAGGAGCCCCGTCCTTCTGCTAGCAGCTCAGGCTCCCCAAAGCAGCACAGATGTCAGGACAAACACTCTGACTCACCATGCTTTAACTAGGGAGGGAAAAAGGCTCTGCTCTTCCCTTTCATTGTCTCCTTTTCTCCCTCCCAGGGTAGACTCTGTATGGCTCCTTTGGCCCCACCATGGTCAGCCTGGAGAGCCTCCTGCTTCCCCCAAAGATCTGCCATGCTCTCACATTGCTGCCATCGATGGGGACAGATGATAGGGAAGGAGGGAGCCACCATCTCCAGAGGAGCCACTCACGCCGGTACCCCCTGACCTCTGGCAACCTGGGCGGGGCAAGAGACAGCCCTGATCTTGTCAGAGCTCTAGGGCACTGGGGAACTGAGACCCTGGAGAGATATCTGGGTGGGAGGCAATCACTGGGAAAGGAGCTCCAGAGAAGGAATTAAAGATGGCCTCAGGTTCCCTCTCTAGGAATCTTCCTGGGAGAAACCTGGGTTTTTCTTTCTCTTCTTCTCCCCCAAAGATTTGACCCAAGAACACAGGCAGAAGGGAAGAGAGAAGGAAACCAAGGCTCAGAGAGGATAGGGGACCTTCCCCAGGTCACACTGTCCCAGCACAAGACCTCAAAGCAAAGCACCCCAAGTGACCCCGATCAGCACTTTGTCCGCATTTAGGGAGCACTACTGTGTGTCAACATCTGATCTTCCTTGTGCCATTCAGCCTTGACGTGAGGTAGGTATTAGTATCCCCATTTTGCCGATAAGGTTCAGAGAGGCAAAAGAACTTGCCAGCAGCCACACAGCAGATAAGGGCTGAGTTGGGATTCAAAGTCATTCCTAGCTCCAGAAATTGCATTCCTAGCTCCAGAAATTGCTTGCACGCGGGGGGTTACAGAAATCCCAGCACTGTCACAGAGGCCCTCATGGGGCAGAGGCCAGTGGCAGCCGCCGGCCTCACCCTGAGGTCTAGCTCATGCCAGCTGCAACTGCCCTCTTCTCTCTGCCCTCGCGGCCATGTGCTGTTGTTTGCACGCCCCTACCACTGCCGAGGGCAGCCGCCTGGGTGACAGGCTGGCAGTGCCTCCCCGGGAGGCAGTCGCACAGACAGGTTCCCCATACGATAAATATCCAAGCACATCTGTACACTCGACATACACAGACATGTGTATGGCAACACTATTCCTGGAAAAAACTGGAAACAGCCAAAATGTGCACGGAAAGATGGCAGTGAAATAAACCATCGTACCTTCCCATTATAGATGACACACAGATGTTTCCAGGAATAAAATTAGTCAAATGACAAGATCTCCAAGACATAATACCAATATTAAGTGGTAAAGGCAAGTTGCAAAATAGTAGGTACAACAGGACTACATTTGCTTTAAAATTACACAAAACAGGGGTGCCTGGTGGCTCAGTTGGTTAAGCATCTGCCTTCAGCTCGGGTCATGATCCCAGAATCATGGGATCGAGCCCCGCCTCAGGCTCCGTGCTCAGCGGGGAGCCTGCTTCTCCCTCTCCCCCGCTTGTGTGCGTTCACGCTGTCACTCGCTCTCTCTCAAATAAATAAATAAATAAAATCTTTAAAAATACATTTTTAAGTAAAAAAATAAAAATAAAAAAATACACAAAACAAAGCACTAAGTCTTTTTGGATACATAAGCAAACATGGAAACACACACATACACACACACACACATACACAGGAGTGGAAAGACACATCCTAAATCAGTAAGAATAGCCCTAAGAATCGAAGGTAGCTGGGTGGGACTTGGGAGGTTCTTTCACTTTATCTCTATGGCTGGATAGTTTTAAAATTTTTTATCTATTTTTTTAAGTAGGTTTTACACCCAACGTGGGACTTGAATTCACGACCCCAAGATCAAGAGCCACATGGTCTATCAACTGAGCCAGACAGGCACCCTCTGGATTTTTATTATAAAGTGTATTTATGTATTCCCCTGTATAATTCAAAATTTTTATAATCACCTACTTGTAGTGTGAGGGTTCTAAGACAGACTCTGGAGCCAGACGGTCTGGTTTCAAATCCTGGCTCTGTTACTAACTGGCTGTGTGACCCCAGGTAACGAGTTTCACCTCTCTGTGCCTCAGCTGTCTCATCTGTAGAATGGCCATCACAGGGGCATCCGCCCCACAGGGTTGTAGTAAGGACTAGCGAAGGTAGCACACACAGAGTCAGCTGATCGGAGCCTGGTACACAGTAAGCCCCACGGAAGCGTCAGCCAGCATTTCTGTTGCTAGAGTCCAGCTCAGCTCTTTGATTCTGGTGATGATGCTGTTATTGGCAGCAACGGAGGTGTTTTTTTTTTCCCCCCTAAAGAGACTCAGAGGGATGATTTCTCCAGAACCACGTATCTCACCACCGAGAGGAAAGGGGAGGAACAAACACATGCTGAGCACCTAGTGTGTGCCAGGCTGACATACGTTGTCTCGCCGATACTTCTAACAGCCCCAAGTCATAAGTGGCATTGCCCCTGGGGTAGCGGGAGCTGAGTGGCTTGTCCGAAGTCGTCAGCAGTGCTGGAGGCAGGATTTGAACCCCTGACCAGCCGGATGCCCAAGCTCCTACAGCCAGCTCTGGCCGCCCCGGACCCCCTTGTTCCCATCAGCAGCCCAGTCTGCCATGCTCAGACTCGCTGCTCTGTCAGCCTCTCCCCAGCTCAGCCCCCTCCTCCCCCTCTGAGATATTTCTGTCACAGCCTCCTCCTCTGAGGAGGAAGGACAGCAATGGAAGGGAAGACAGATCGCTAAGACAAAGTGATGCGGAGTTGGGTGAGGGAGGGTGGAAAAGGCTGGAGGAGGGGGGGGCTGATGGAGAGAAAGGGGAGAGGCAGATGGGAGGATGTAGAAGACAGAGAAGAAGGTGAGGTGGACCTGGAGGAGAGAAGGGTGGGAGAAGGGGAGGAGGATGTGTGTAGGGGAAGGCGGTGGGTAAAGGGCTCCAGACCAAAGGCACAGGTCCTGACACAGAGACAAAGGGGCTGGGGAGGCAGGCACCCGGCGGACCTCCTTCTCCCCTGCTGCTCTCCATCGCTGACCTCCCACACTGGTCCCTCCCAAGGACGAGCAGCGTCCCGCCCCAGCACAGGTCTCTGCACGTCTCTCTCTCCCTCTCTCCCCTACACTGGCAGCATCTCATTCACTCTGAAACCACTCTCCCCATGCCCCGCTCTTCATCCCAGCCCAGTCTCTGCTGCAGCTGGCAGTGAGACCCCTACCCCACAGCCGCAGGGCCAGGAAGCCCTGGCTGAGACCGCTGAGCTAACCAGTGGCTTCTGAAAAGCCGGTTCACACAAGTAGGCCAATGTGGGGGGTGGGACTGGAGAGATTAAAATACTCAAGCCTGCTCAGTTACCATGCCCTCAAACCCAGAGGAGCTGGGGCTTCAGAAACCCATGTGCCCCGACCCGTCCCCTGCGGAGAAGCTAGCAGCTGGACTGGGGAAGGGAGCTCAGGGCTACGTAGGGCTGAGGACTGGAGGAAAGGGGTCCAATGCACCCCAAGTTTTGTTCATTTTCATCAGTTCCTTTCGTCCAGGCACTGGAGCTTCCACTGCCTGGCTGGAAGCCTAGAGTCTGGGACAGGCCAGCTTGGGTGGGAGGAAAGGGGTTGTGACCCAGGAAAATGGAGGAGAGGCCATGTTCCAGGAACAAAATCCCAAAATGCAGGCAGTTGAGCAGACAATAAAGAAAGCAGGCATACAGGAGGCTGGCTAAGGAGCTGAGTGGTTGGGAAGTGGTGGGGTCAGACCCCTCCCCTCTCTCGGAACCCCAATCTCCCCATCTGCCCCATGGGGATGATAGTGGGTGTTTGGGGGACAAGCTTAGCCCAGTGTCAGCACATGGCAGGCACAGAGAAACTGTGGGACTGCAGTGGTCGGCACCCTGGGGCTCTGGGCCACAGTCTTAGATCCAATCCTGGCACCAGCCAGTTAGCCTCAGGGACAGAAATTGTGTCGCGGGTACCACTGGCAGGGAGAATCCAGACCCATCCCACCCCAACCTCACCAAGAACAGCCATCTCCTCACATCCTTGGTCACTCGTGCAGAGCTCCCCGAGGTGCGGGAACATAAGATGACCCGTAACAGAACTCAATGACAGAGCGAGAACATGAGACTTTTCCAGCACTCTCCCAGCTCCTTTTCTGGTTGTGTCAAGAGAAAGTGGGTGTTGATGCCGCTCAGTCTTTAACAACCCGCTAGCACCAAAGAGAAAGCGGGCCTGGGGCTGGGCCCCTCGGACCTCCCCTCTGAACTCCAGCAACACAGCTGGGGTTCCTGAAGGGTGCGCGGCAGCTGTCTTTAGGACCACCTTCTGTTTATGAACAAGGTACAGAGTTTCCATTTCCGGAAGAGATAAGAAGGGTCCTTTCTAAACCAAGGCATGGAAGGAAAAAGATAAGTGAGGCAGTGGAGAGAAATATGCAAAATACAGAAGAAGGGAGCCGCCTGAGGCGCGTGGGTGGGTGGAGAGAAGGCAGAAAGTCCCACGTGGTTCCAGATGCCTCCAGTTTGGGAAATGCTCCTTTACAAGAACCCGGGGGAGAGGGTGCATGGCCCAGGGCAGCCTTCCTACTGCTGGAGAACCAAGTGAGGGTCTCAGCTACCTACTGGGATTCAGGAATGTTCTCCAGTGTGCACAGACGGAGGGAGTAGGACTGCAGCCTTGACCTTGGGTTCACTGAAGTCCTGTCCCCCTGGTTGATAGGGCAGCTGCAGCTCCAGGCCGCAGGGCCTGGGGGTGGGGGGTGTCAGGCAAGCTGCTCCCAGGGCCTGCCTTTCAGCCCCCGTCCACACAAACCCCCAGTACCTCCCATCCTGCGGGAGGCTCCTCCCCCTGGGACTACATCAAGACCGAAGAAGCCCCCAGGACCTTCCTCGGGGCCTGCCCCTAATTCTCTGCGCCTCAGGCCTGGTCAAGCTAAAGCCCCATTCTTTGGGGGTTTAGAACAATGGACAGTAAGACTCAGGTGCCATATGGCCCGAGTGACAAGAGCAGCCTACCCTACTCCAGACACCGCAGGGCCTTAGCACTCACAAGTCATTAGTGAGCACCCAGGATGTACAGTGGGGATCAAAACCACACCGGATGCGCCCAGCTTACACTCTCGTGGGGGAGATAGACAATGACCAATTCAACACATAAACCTGCGGTTGGGATAGAGAATAACAGGGTGAGGGAGCTTAGACGGTCTGCAGACAGGGTGGTCCGGGACAGACACTGGGAAGAGGTGACCTGTGAGCTGTAAAGGAAGCAGGCAGGACAGCCCCAGGGGAAGAGCCGGCCAGGCAGAGAGGGAACAGTGATGCCAAGTCCTGGACACCAACTGCAGTCTGGTGCCTACCAGAAACATCAGAAGGGCTGGTGCAGAGGAAGAGAGGGCAAGGGGAGGAGGCGAAGGTGGAGAGCTTGGCAGGGGCACATTCCCAGGCTGGATCCCAACAGGGGTCTCCACTTTTATCTTAAGAGAGACAGGACCACTTCTGTTTTGTCAAGCGCTGGCTCCCGGGCAGAGAGTCAACCCGAGTGAGTCTGGAGTGGAAGCAGGGGAAGCCGGCAGGAGACTAGTGACGGCTTCTGGGAAAGAAGCAATGGTGGGCTGCTGGAGGAGGGTGGCCTTGGAAGTGGGGCGTGTTCGGGAGGACAGCACCAACAGGCCTTGATAATGAACCCCATGAGCATTAGGGAGAGAAATTATTCCTAAGTTTCTGCGGGGTGATGCCCTGATGGTGCCATTTGACATGATGGGAAAGACAGGGGGAGGAGCAGGTGGGGAGGGGGGACACCCAGAATTCCCTTGGCCCATGTTACCTTCTGGAAGCCAACCCCGCATGCTGGCAGAGCTGTCCTGGGGACAGTCAGCACTGAGTCTAGAGCACAGAAGAGTCGGGTGTGTTGGAAATGGCCACTTGGAGGTCACCAGCAAGTGTATATATTAAGTGATGGATGCCCTGTGGGCACCCAGCGGCTGCTCATTGCTCTCCATCCCCCAAGCCCGGGTCTCCCTGCGCGTCCCAGGTACCTGCAGTGTCTCCAAGGCCTGGCCGGCGGCACCGGTCGTGAGCGAGGCCACCTGTACCGCCTGCTTGCGCGCCGCCAGCAGGATCCTGCAGTAGGTGTAGCAGATGGCGCCCGAAGGCAGGAAGAAGGTGAGACCCGATGCCACGAGGACAAAGGGCAGGCTGGCCAGCAGGCGGCACTGGCCTGGGGCAGGGGCCCGCGCGCGGCCCAGCTGGTGCCAGCCCAGCAGCAGGGGCAGGAAGGAAGCGAGCGCGGCCAGGCTCCAGGCGCCCAGGACGAGCCCCAGGGCGCGCGGCGGCGTCATGCGCAGCTTGTAGCTCAGCGGCGAGAGGATGAGCAGGTAGCGGTCCAGGCTGATGAGGCAGAGGTTGAGGATGGAGGCGCTGCAGCACATCACGTCGAAGGCGGCCCAGAGCAGGCAGAGGCCGCGCGCCAGCACCCAGCGCCCGTACAGCGCGTTCAGCATGGCGGGCGGCATCACCACCAGCCCCACCATCAGGTCCGACGTGAAGAGCGACACCAGGAAGAAGTTGGACGTGTTGCGCAGCGCCGGCTGCGTGCAGATGAGCGCGATGAGCAGCGAGTTGGCCGCCGCCGTCAGCACGATGACCACGCACAGCGCGGCCGCCACCCAGCCGCTGCCCGCGGGGTGCGACGGCGGCCCCGACCCCCAGTCCGGGGTGCTGTGGTTGGCGGGGCCGGGCTCCGGGACCATGGGGGCGGGGGGCGGAGGGCGAGGACGTCAGGCCCGAGGGGGGTCAGGAGGACGAGGTGGGATGCGCTGGAGACCTGAGGGAGGGACCTGAGCAGAGGCTGGGTGGGCGTCGTCGGTGAGAACGGACCGCCACCAGGGGTCAGGTGGGAAGAGAGGGACAGGGGCACTAGGTCAAGGGGCAACGAGCCAAGGAGGATGGAGAGGGGTTATATGGTGTGAGGTGGGGACACGGAGCAAACGGTAGGGATTTGGAAGAGGGAACCTGATGAGGTGCAGAGTCCCCGAGAGAGAGCGGGCGGGAAGTCAGGGACGGGCAGGTGACTGTGAGGTTGAACGGGAGGGGGCTGAGCCCCCTAGAGGGAAGGGCGGGAAGGGAGGGGTGGGGACGCGTGCCTGGGGCGGGGACCTGAGGAGCCGAGAGCTGGGACGAACGAGCGCGCTCCGCAGGGGGCAGCCCCCTCCGCGGCAGGTGGCTGTACCCGGGCGCTAGGTCGGGAGCCGCGGTCACTTGGGGTGGCAGGGCGGGGGCCGGTCAGCCACAGCAAAGCCCTCGGTGGAGAAAGCAGGTCTCCGAGCCAACGCAGAGGCAGCCCGGGATTGGGCGACTACGGCCCCCTGCGGCGTGCGGGAGGATGCCCGGCCGGCCCGCCGGGACAGGAGCAGCAGCAGCGGCCGCGCGGCCGCGGGGTCCCCGGCCCCACTCCCGCCCGCGCTCGGTACCTGGGCGCTCCGCGCTGCTCCGCTGCCTGCGACTGCGGCAGGCCCCGCAGGGCTGGGAAGGAGGAGGCGGCCGCGGGCCCGGCAGGCGCCCAGGAAGCCCGGGAGGCACCGCTAGGGGCCCGCGCCGCGGAGGAGCGGGTGACGCTTCCAGGAGCGCGCGGTCCCGGAGCCGCGGAGCCTGCGCCCCGCCCCGCCCCGCGGTGGGCGGAGAGAACCGAGCCCCCGCCCCGCCGCGCGCGGAGTCCTCCCACCTCCGGGTCGCAGCCTCCACCGCCCCTGCGACCCCGCACACCCCTCTCCCTCCTGACGTGGCAGCCGCGCAGGAGGAACTCAGAGGAGGGGCTGTGGCTGCCTTCATCTAGGACTGCTCCCCAGTCGGGGAGCTGCCCGTCCGCAGCCCATCGGGAGCTACCGGGGAGCTCGCTTGACACCCAAATGTGTACACACACACATGCATACACATATATACATGTATCTAATAGTATACATAATATATAACAACCCATATAGCTTTTTTCGAACCTTTAAACAGCAGGTTACCTCCTCCTCGGGATCCTTTGAGCAGAAACCTAACATTCCTCGACAGCACCAGACATGAAGGATGAAGTCTGATGGGTTGGTCCTCCTAGTCTAACACAGAGTGTGAACAGATCTGGGAATCCCTAGGCCAGATGGGGTAGAGGCACTGCAGGTAGAGGTGGAGCACCCCCTGGACCTGCTCTCTCCCCGCTAGCGAAGGAGAGTTTGTACCGGGGGCGCCTGGGTGGCTCACTCATTAAGCGTCTGCCTTCCTCTGGGGTCATGATCCCAGTGTCCTGAGATGGAGCCCTGTATCGGGCTCCCTGCTCAGCAGGCCTGCTTCTCCCTCTCCCACTCCCCCCGCTTGTGTTCCTTTTCTTGCTCTCTCTCTGTGTCATAAATAAATAAAATCTTAAAAAAAAAAAAAAAAGGAGTTTCTACCAGACGCTTCACAGATCAGTACTGTGGATTCCATTCATTCATTCAACAAACATTTATTGAGCACCTACTAGATATTGGGCAGTGTTCTGGCCAGTCAGGGCACTACAGGAACCACAACTAAGATCCAGCTTCGTGGAGTTTCGTTCTAGTGGAAGGAGACAGACAATTAACAATAAGCGTAACAGACTTGTAAAGTCATCCTAAAGGGTTCCCAGTTATAGGGGGAAAAAAAGAAAGAGAGGGGCGCCTGGGTGTTTCAGTCATTAGGCGTCTGCCTTCAGCAGAGGTCATAATCCCAGGGTCCTGGGATCGAGCCCCACATAGGGCTCCCTATTCAGCAGGAAGCCTACTTCTCACTCTCCCTCTGCCCCCTGCCTGTGCTCCCTCTCTCGCTGTGTTTCTTTCTGTCAAATAAAATAATTTTTAAAAGAAAGAAAAAAAAAAAAGAAAATGAAAAGCAACATAAAGGGAGTCTGAAGGGGAAGGGGGCCTTTTTCCCTCTGCAGAAAGAGAAAATTCATAGCCCCATGTAAAAGATTCCTGTGATGTCCCAGGGGTTTTATTCTCTTATTCCTACCACTACAATAATGAGGATAGGTAGGTGTTAAACAGAGGCTCAGAGAGTCCAGGGGCCTCACCCAAGGTCCACCAGGAGCAAGAGACAAAGTGGAACTGAAACTCAGGATTGCCCAACACCCAAGACAAAAACCTCACGACCCTGCAGCGCCCCACCCGCCCCCAAGCCACTGTTTGGGGCCCAGAGTCCCAGTCGTAGGGTCTACAGATGGGTCTAGGCAGCAGGAAAGGGAGAACTGTCCTCCCTCCCATGTGACACCCCTGTGACAATTTCTGCCATGCCCCAAAGGACAGGATACCAGGCACTAGGCTGAGAATCATAAAGACCAGACTTGGGATCCCACTGCTGTTGCTTACCAGCTCTGCGGACTCAGGGACCTCATTTATTTTTTTTTAAAGGCCTAAAGAAAACAGGACAAATTTGTTCATATTTGTTCATTCTGGGTGACAGGTTCACAGACGTTTGTTATATTGTGATTTGTGCTTAACTATAATTTTTTAAAAGATTCATTTATTTATTTGAGAGAGAGCGTGCACACAGGTTTGGGAGGGAGAGGCAGAGAGAGAGAGAGCCTCAAACAGACTCCCCACTGAGCATGGAGCCCAACAGGGGCTCAATCTCATGACCCTGAAATCACTACCTGAGCCGAAACCAAGCATGAGATGCTTAACCCACTGGGCTACACAGGCGCCCCTTAACTTATCATTTTCTTTTTTTAATTTTCTTTTTCAAGATTGGGCCTGTGTGGTGGCGCCACCTTGTGGCCACACTATTATCATGAATTTAAGAACTTTTTCAAAAGTTCCATGTGTGTACTCGAAAGTTTATTGTATCTGTTGTGGAATAATAAAGCCCCAGACTTCCTTAACCTTTCAGGGTAGAGAGGGGCCTCCAGGAATCCTCAGCGTTTGCTTGATTACTTCTAGCCACGGGGAGTTCCCTCTCTGGAGGAGAAGGCTGATGTCCCAGTGGAACAGGTGACTCTTCAGAAGGCCTTTGGCCTGGACCTCCATGCTCACCGGAGCTCCGCATTATGGAGATGGAGAAACCGAGAGCCAGGGAGGCCGTGAAGCCTGCTCAAAGCTGCTCTCACAGATTAACTGCCTAAACTCCATGACGCAGGGGATTTGTCTGTTTTGTTCACTGCTCTATCCTCAGCACATAACGGGCTCTCAATAAACATCTGTTCAATGAATGAATGAGCAAAACTATCAGCCCAGCCACCAGCAGTTGGGACCCAATCTTCGTTCTCAATAATTAGAGGGACAGTCATCATTTTGCTCGTGTGTGTGGGTTTTATTCTGTAATGTAAGGTCTGCACCCAGTATGGGGCTTGAACTCAGGACCCTGAGATCAAGAGTCACATGCCCTGTGGACTGAGCCAGCCATGTGTCCTTACTACATGCCAGGCACTGTTCCAAACTCCACTTGCACATTCATTTAGGTAAAGCTCACCGTGACCCTGGGAGTTAAAGGAGGTGTCATCATTAGTCCCCGTTTTGCAGATGGGCAAACTGAGCCTGGGGAGTTTGACCTGCTCAAGATTACACAGCTAGGAAGTGGCCCAGCCTGAATGTACACCCAGGCTGACTGGATATTTCCAGAGGCTTGGAGCCGGGGAAGAAAACGAGCTGGGAGTTGTAGGCTCCATGTAGGCACACAAGGAGGGGAAGATGCTGCTAATTACTTACCCGCCCTGGCCGAGAGGAGCCTGTGCTTTCGGTGTTAATCCCTTGTAAAGATTTTAAGATCTTTCTACCATTGCTGTGGGGAGGGGAGCAGGGGAGGGAGCGAAGGGCAGAGGAGGACCTGACATGTTTTTTTCTGGGCTCTCTTGGTGGTTCAGCTTGAGGTTGGCAAGGAAAAGAGAAGTCACTATTTCCCATCCCATGCCCAATGGCAGGCTGGCACAAGCGACGTCAGCATTCAAATCTGGCTCCTCCCATTTGCTGCTCCCGCACCCAATCAGCGGCTCCTCTCCAACCTGGCCCCGCCTCCCCAAGGCCCCACTCAATTCTGGTCTCTGTGGTCTCTGGTCTCTATCTCCTGCCCGGAAGATTGCAGTCACCACCATCCGTCTCCACTCTCTGGAAAACCCAGCTCTGTGCAGAGCCCTCCGGGGCTCTTACTGCAAGGAGAATGAAGTCTGAACTCCGGCTAGCATTGCACACCTGCCACCAGCCACGCCAACCCATCTTCCTACTTTCTTTCCAATGAGCCTCTTAATTTCTTTATATGTCTATCCTGCCTGGTTCCATACACAGGATGGAGGCGGCTCCTGACCCAAGATTCATCCTGCCAGCACGGTGCTTGGTTCTGAGCTCCTCCAGGCTCCAGGTTCTGAGCACCGCGTCCAAGGCCCCAGGAAGCCCTGCATTTGGACGTGTTCTCTGAGTCCTTGGAAGCCCCGCAGCATCTTCTCTGCATCCTTGGGCCAGGCCTCACCTCCAACCATACGGAATGGCTGTTAATATGACCAGGACTTGTCCCTACCAGACTAGGAGTCACTGAGTCTGCATGCAGGAGATCTACTTCTCTCCAATCCACTCCACGTCAGGGACGTAGGGCCCCGGTGGATGGCTACGTCCGCACAACTGCAAGAAACGCCATTCCGGAGCTGGGAAGTACACAACTTGCACAACAGCCCAGAGCAGCCAGCCATGCTCTGGGAAGGCAGTGTCCGCTGAGGAAATCGTGCGTGTGGTACAGCACCGTTGTCGCTAGAGGGCGCAAGATTAGACTCTGGGCGCCGCTGCTTACCGGCCCGTGCACAGCACTCCCAGGGCATAAGAGCACTCGATTCCAAAAAATGGATTTTCTGTGGATTAGCAGTAATATATGTGAATTGTCTGGTATGTGGTGTTCACAGCAATATGGGTGAGGAACAAAGGGTCTGGGCCCTCACCCACCCCGCCAGCCCTGCTGTGTCTCAATGATGGAGAATTGGGGGGACTGAATGGCCTGGGGGTAATGATCCCAAATCCCCGCGTCCCTGTGAGGTGGTCAGGCACCCACCTGGCACACAGCAGGATACATACAAATGACAACCGCTGAAAGCAGGGTCAGGCCTGGGCTCGAGTCCTGTGGCTGCCGTCTTTCAACCATGCTGCCCTGGACAGATGACGCAATCCCTCCCCACTTTGGCCGCCTCCTCTGTACAGTGCGGGCCAGTGTCTGCATCACAGGCTGGTGCTGAGGATTAAGCGAGTGACTTTGTGTAGAGTACTTAGCACAGCACCCAAACTTGTATATTCCTTTATAACCACTGGCTTTGTCTCTTTCCCCTTCTACCGGGCCAGACTAGACGGGGGTCCAGGAAAGGGCTGATACTGGGTCCCTGGGAGGGGGAACAGATGGCACGAGCTAAGCCCAAAGGGCCCAGGGGTCAAGATGAAAAGCGCCTGGTCTGGAGGCCCACCCAAGGTATATCCGAGGCCAGACATGGGCGCCCAAGGAGAGAGGTGGGAGCCAAGGAGGCAGCAGCCACAGGCACACCACAAGGCAGCAAAGTGGGAGGGCCACTAGGGGCTCCTCACTGCGCAGCCTGACCCCCTCCTTGCTGAGGACCCCTTCAGGGACTCTGGGTCAGCAGAGGCACCCAGTGAGGAAGAGAACACAAGCACTGAAGGAAATTTATTCATGAGAAAACTCAGGGAAACAATCTGCTGGTTACAAGCTCCAGAAGCCCTTGTCGGAACAGCCGGGAGTGTGGGCCGGGGGGGGGGGGGGGGGGGGGAGCTGACCGCCGCCCTGGGGACAGAAGGGCAGACACAGGCGGGTGTGGGTACCGAGGCGTTCTTCACGGCCCGCCTGCTTGTCCTGTCCCCAGGACCCCACTGCCCTCTGGGTTAAAGTGCAGCTGGGAGGGGGGTGATAGGTAGAACTGGGTGCTGGAGAGCTGTGGGGACACTGGCCGCCATGAGCCCTCCCCCCTCCTCTTCCTGGTTTCTTGAGGCTCAGCCAGAGTCTATCCCACCCAGATCCCTCCTTGGAGCGCCCCCCACAACCCGCCACCGTCAGATTTAGAAAGAGCTCCCCAGGAGGGGTAAGGCTAGCTCCATCAGTTTTCCGCCCAAGACTTGGGGGCGGGGGGGGGGGGCAGTGGGAGGGAGAGGGAGGGTGAGGGATATTCCAGGGATGGTCCGGGAGTCCTCCCCTCCCCCTGGCCCAGGTAGGCTCCACTCTTGCCTTCCTCCACCCGCTGGAAAGCCAAGGAAGCCAGAAAGGCCTCCCAGCTCCAGGGCCATGAGTCAGCAGGGTCCTGCCCAGACCTGACTCCTAAGCACACCATCGAGGGAGGGCCATTTTGGTGCCAATGGGGAGAAGCTCTCCTGGGGACGAGAGACCTTTGGGGAAACCTATGGGGCTTGAGCTTCTGCCAGTGGTCTTCCTAGCCTGGACCCAGCCCCTTCCTCAAGGCTACTGCTGGCAAGGCACCGACCCTCAGTCCAGGGTCCCCGCTCCACCATCTGTACCCCAGGGGCCCTGCCCCACCAGGGTGTGAGGTCCTCAACCTCTTCCTCCAACCTCTTCCTGCTCCCAAAGGCATATCTCTAGGAGGCAGAAAGGAAGAGAACCACCGCCCCCCCCCCCCGAAAAAGAACCCTGAAGACCTCTGCTACCTCCCCTCACTCTTGAATATATTAAATTGTGCAGCTTGGCCCCAACCCCTCCCTTCAGATCTCCACGGCAACCGGAAAGCGTTCCAAGTCCAAGTCTGAATCCAAGTCCATCCAGTGCCAAAGGGAGGCTCCGGCCTTTCTCCCCACCGCTCCCCCAAGGGTGAGACCCAACATTCCACAGGGGACGAGAGGGGAGGAGGAGTTGGGGCCTCAGTCCTCAGCCCCCTCTTCCTCCACGTGGGGGGCCCCGGGGGGATCCTCAGGCTCGGGGGTCTGCCCGCCTGGGTGGGAGTGGGGACGGGTGCCCGGCTGGGAGCCTGGCGTGTCCTCGCCTTGCATGTAGACGCTCAGCCCGTGGCTGGGCTCCTTGCCACATGCTTGGCAGCTACAGTGCACGATCTTCTCCACCAGCTTGTCCACCCGGGGCACCTCCTCGTGGCCGGGGCACTCCAAGGTCACCTGCAGAGGACAGCAGAGAAGGGAAGACATGTTTCCAGAGGCCCCACGGGCAACAACACTCCTCATGGGACCGACAGTCCCAGAGACCCCAGAATGCCTGAGCCTGCCTGGGGGGGTACCACAGTTAGCTCTGCGGGCCCCTCCACAGGGAGGAGGGCAAGTCACCGCAGGAGCCACCCGACTTGTCTCCTCACAACCTGTCCTGCCCCCTCCCTACCCCTTCCCTCATGGCAGCCTGAGGGGAGAAATCCAACAGGGCCTGCCCCTGTCCACAGTCCACCTCAGTGGACTTGAAGAAAAGTCCAGACTCCTTACCAAGCCCCCTCCCCAGGACCTTCAGGCGGCCTCTGGCTGACCTCTCCATCCCCGATCTCATGTCACTCCCACCAAGTCTAAGTTGCCTGATCAGCCCGAGACTTTGCACATGCTGTTCCCTCCACCTGGAAGGTCCTCACCTAACCCACCCCAGACCACTTGCCCCCAAATCGCCCACTTGACTTCCACTTAACCTTTGGGGTGGCATTCCGACATCACGCCCTCAAAGAGCCCCATCTCAAAGCCACAGCCCAGCCTAGGTCTGCCCTACTGGACCCTGCAGGGTTTTGCTTTTCTCCTAATTCACACTTTTCCAACAGCTCTCCCTTTTTCCATCTTTCTTCCCCTTTTCTCCCTCCTTCCTTCCACAAAGCACCTACTCCCTGCCAGTGCTGGGGACATAAGGATAGGCATGGTCCTGCAAAGAATTCAGAGTCTAACGAGGGAAGCAGACTTGTCACAATCACCCAAATGCAGATGGAAAACTGTGAGGGGACAGATGTCAAAGCAGACGCACACAGTGCTCAGGGGGATAAGAAAGGACCCTGAAAATGCTGCTGAGCCAAGAGCAGGAGAATGAATAGATGCTAAGTGAGTAAGGAGAAGTGAGGTATTCCAAACAGGGGAAAGAGCACATCCAAAGGCCCTGTGGTCATACCACACAGAGCAGCTATGAGAGATTGAAAGAAAGCACACTGATGTCAAGTGTCAAGCAAGTAAAAAAGATGAGGGAGGAGAGACAAAGCTCAAGAGACTGGGAAGCCAGGCCACGCTGGGCACTGCGGGACACAGCGAGGATTGGGTCTCATCTTAAAAGAGTAAGAAACCACGGAAAGAATTTCATTGTGGGACTGACATCAGAATGGAGCTGCAGGAAGAGCTCTTGTCCAGTACATATTGGTGTCAGACACATAAGCCATCCCATGGCAAGGGCCACGTCTGGAGCCCCAGCACAATTCTCGGCCCCTGTACATGGCGGGGCCTGACCGGTGGGCCCTGCGGCCGAGGCCCAGGCAGACAGGGGCGGGCAGCAGTACTCACAATCTCCCACATGGACTGGGCCGGCATGCAGGAGTCGCAGTGAACCAGGGACTCCGTAGACTGCGGGAAGGTGTTGGGAACGCTGTAACTGAAGCACTGTCCTAGGCACGCCCTGCAGGAGGAGAGGTCACTGTGCCCGTGACACCACGGCAGCGGCGGGGATGGGCTGCCCCGTCTTCTGCCCCTCCCCCCACTGCCACTGCCCCGCACCTGTTCTGGATGGACTTGGCCTCGCAGCCGCTGTGGCCCACGATCTGGGTGATGTTCTTGGCCTCACACCAGGCGCTCTTGTCCGGGAACAGTGCCAGCTTGTTGATGGGCGGCGGAGCAGCCAGTAGCATTGCGGGGAGGACGGCCCCCACCAGGACCCGAAGCATCATGCCCGTGGCCTCTAGGGCCCTAGGACTGAGCACAGACTGCAGGTGAGGCTGGTGAGGCCCAGAGGCCCCGTGGACAGAGGGGACGGCGGCATGACAAGCACGGACTCTGCCACCCGACTGCCTGGGTTCGAGCCCTAGCTCTACCGCTTACCAGCAAAACACAACCTTGGACCCATTATTTGTCCTTTCTGAACCTCGACAGTGGAGCCACTAACATATGCACGTGCCATGGGCGCCCAGGAGGTTACGAGAGCCCCCAGCGGTGAGACTAGCCCATAATGCACGCTCTGCGGGTGCTACTCTGCAACCCTACTGTACAGCTTTGAGCAAGTTCCTTTCTATGTGCCTCGGTTTCTTCATCCAAGAAATGGGGATGGCGAGACGGGATGGCAGAGGACTGTGATGCTTCAGGGCCTCTGGCAAACCCACAAGCTTGCCCAGGAAACACAGTGCTTGCCCTCGAGGGGCTGGCCACGCAGCGCCTCTCCTGGGCACACCGCCTGCATGTCAGCTACTGGGAAAGCTAACCTCCTCTGTCCAGCACTGTGACTTTTTGGGCCACCTTGGCTGGCTGGGCGTCAGATGAAAAAGCTAACCCCAGACCAGGCTATTTCTTTTTTGGATCCCCCACCAGAGCCGCAAGCCCTGAGTCTATACATACATCTTTATTTATCTCCAGTACCATCCCAATCTCCAAGGCAAGACCAGCGTCTGACGGGATGGAATGAGACTGTAATACCAGAACTGGCCGGAAGATGGCGCTGCAGGGCAGCATGTGTCCGAAGGATTGCTCTCAGAGGGGGCTCTCCCAGTGTTCCCCGACTGCAGCCTCCCTAGGCTTTGCCGTCTCCCCGACCTCCAAACGTGTGGAAGAGGGAAGCTTCAGAGCGACTTGGAAATGAGGGCCAGGCCTGCAAGGGGGTGCTCTGGGGTCAGGACATGGGAAAGGGTGTGTTGAATGGGGATCTGGGAGTCTGCACCTGCTGTATGACCCTGGACACCCAGGCCTCAGTGTCCCCACCTCTAAAATGAGTGAGGTGCCCTGGACACTGGTTGCCAAAGTCGGCAGATCATAAGAATCCCGAGTTCCCTACGGACTTCTGGGGTGAAGTTCTAGGGCCAAGCGGGGCTGCAAATTTTCTAGCAAGCTTCCAAGGTGCCTCTGACATGGAGAACTGGTCCAGCTCAGTCAGTCCGGGATTCCATGCCTTGGGACGGTCCCAAGCGGGGTCTGGGCATGGCCGAGTCGGGATCAGGGGCCAGGTGCTGTCCCACAGACACCCAGCACTAGAGTGGGAACATATACCCTTTCTGAACGATCCTACCCTCAGTCAGCCTCCTTGGTGAAGCGTCCAGAAAGGGGGTGGTGTTGGGGGTCTTGCCTGTTACTCCAGGGAAGACCTAGATGGGCTGGGCTCTAGGAGAGGGCCCGGGTCCCCTGCAGGGCTGGGACCACCTCCACAGCCCCGTGTCCCCTCCACCCAGAAAGTCCTGCTCAGCCCCTTCTCCCTGCAGGAGGTCTCCAGAAGCAGAGCTGAGTCCCATCTCACTGGACCCCAATGCCTGGGTGACCCCTGCTCCCAGCCAGCGGGGAGGGGTGAAGCAGGGAGAGCAGTAGGAGGTGAGTCGGGACAGCCTGCCCAGTCCCAGTTGCGTTTGTGTCATGACCCTGGCTCTCACCCACATATTTCTGGTCTCACTCACAAGACCGGCAGCGAACCCATGTTTTCAGTACAACTACATCCTAACAAAATAGAACAGACTCGTTCCTACCTGGCAGCCCAACTAATTTTTCAACCAGCGGGGCATCCGGAAGGCTCCCTGACCCCACTGGGTCCTCTTCCGTGCCTGGGGAATCGAACTTGGAGTCGGGGTCTGACCACAGCACACCACAAGGAGCCCCACAGGGACCCCCACACACACCCCGAGGCCAGAGCTCCCTCAAAGACCTCAGGCAGGTCTGGGCACTTTGTCTTCTCCCTGACCCTGTGATGATTCCTCAGGAAGATTGGGCTGGGCAGGAGGTGACTGGGAGTTGAGGCTGGGATGGTGTGGAAGAAGCCCTGAGCCCCGTGGACCTGCTTTGCAGGTGATGGGGGGGGGGCGGTTTTGGAATGGCAGCCGTGGGCCTGGACCAGGCTAAAGGGGGGCAGAGCTGAGACAGGGGTGAGGTTAATAACAAGGCTTATTGAGGGACAGGGTAGTGGTGAGGTTTTAGGGGAGTCACAGGCCTGGAGCATGGGGTCTGGTTATTAGGTTATAGTGAAAGGGGAATCTTGCTCACCAGGACACGGTCCAGAGCTAATCCAGCAGGGCCCAGAGGAGGAGAATGGGGGGTCCCTTTAGCCAACCTGCCAGCACCCAGGACCTCAGAGCAAGCTGGAGCCACTATCTGCTTACCTAGACTGGTGGCCCTGCTCCCACCCCAAGCATGGCCCCCAGAGTCCTCTGGTTCAAGTCTGGCCTTCCCACCTAGGAGCTGTGTAACTTCCAGAAATAAAGCTGACCTCTCTGCACCTACTTGCCCCTACCCTAAGATGGGAGCACAGCACCGCTGGGGAGAAGGACTCGGAGGAGGCAGTCAGTGGGCCCCCAGCTCAGTCGGGTCCCCGTCCCCTGGGAGAGCGCAGGGAAGGCGGGGCAGGCCTCACACCGCTCGCAGGTTTTCTTTATTTTTGGTTTATGCTCAGCTAATTTTTCTAGACAGCAGTGGGACCTTCCTTCCTCAGACAAGAGCCTCACCCACAGATTCTCATCTCTTCTTCCCTCCCTGAAGATCACATCGCAAGTCATGGGACTCCTAGAATGCCAGGGTGGGCAGAGGGATTCCCCCAGGCCAACAACCCTCCACCCCCTTGCTTTGCAAAGGGATCATCCCCAAGGTCCCCCAGCAAGTCGGGCCAAGCGGTACCCTTCCCATGAAGCATGAAGTTCCCCACAGTTTAATGCTCAGTCCACTAAGCACTTCCTAGGTGGTGGGGAAGATGGAGGCCAAGGAGAGGCCAGGGGAGCTGGGGGCCCAGACCCTATGCCCGCTCAGAGCTCAGAGCCTAGAGGGGGAGGTTGAAGGAAATGGGGTTTCACAGAAGCAGTTGTTTGGATGGGAAGTCAGAGAGGGCTGGGGTGCAGGGAAGGAGATATTCTTAATTCTGGATTTATTTATTTTAAAGAATTTATTTGAGAGAGTGAGAGAGCACAAGCAGGGGGGAGAGGCAGAGGGAGAGGGAGAAGCAGACTCCCCACTGAGCAGGGAGCCCAAGGCAGGGCTTGATCCCAGGACCCTGAGATCCTGACCGGAGCCAAAGGCAGATGCTTAACCAACTGAGCCACCCAGGCACCCCATTAATTCTGGATTTAATTCAGGATTTGCGGTGAGTTACCAATGACGGGGAGAGGAGGGAGCTCCCGGCTGAGGGGACCGCACTCGCAAAAGCAAGGAGAGGGGCTTTATTACTAAAAGCCCGGCCCATGCCCAGCCTGTCTCAGAGCAAGAGTTGGTGCTAACTGGGCCAGACACTGTTCTGGGTGCTTTTAATGTGTATGCATTTATGCGGTCCTTACAACCACCCGTGAGATAGCTACTACTAGCTCCCCCATTCTACAGAGGAGGAAACTGAGGCATGGGGAGATTAAGAGATTTGCTCAAGCTTACAAGATAAGGACTGACCAACACCAAGACTTGAACATGGACAGCAGCAAGATAAGCACCAGCTACCTTTGCAGACGGGAAGGCTCCCAGAGGATAAATCCAGAAACAGGACGAGGCATCCAGGGAAGGGTCCAAAGTTGGCAAGAGGCCTGGGGCTCCCTGCCCCAGCAGGCTGTGTCTCTTATCCTTATTCGCACTACCTGGGAGCAGAGTTCAAGTTCCACTCCTGACTCTGCAGCCCATGAGACCGCCCCACACACACCCACACATACACACACACACACACACACACACACACACACCGCCACTGACAACAGTGCAGCCAGGGCCAACCCCTGGGACCTTGGCGCCTCAGGAAAGGTCTGATACAGGCCTGCCTCCGAGTCGTGGCAAGATTTCAGTGGGGGGATGAGTGCCTTCTCACCAGCCCCCCTGCAGAGCCTAGATCCAAACCCCCCAGATCCTCAGAGGCCTTATGCAAACACCAGACACATCCTGAGGCTGCCAATGACACGGAAAATTCCCTGGGGGGAGAGGAGGGGTCGCTGGCTGACCCCAGCCAGCACCGTGGAAACTGAGGCACAGACCAAGGAGGTGAGTGTCCAGCTTTCTCGTTCCAGAGAAGAGGGCAGTGGACAAACACAGCAGAGCCGGCGGGGGGGAGGGGGCTTTCTCGGGATCCTTCATTCAAAAGGTCCCCGGGGAGGGGCTGGGGGAGGGGCAGCAAGAACATGTTCCGTGGTTGGGCCTTCAGGGTCCCCCCTCTCGTTTCCGCAGCGCCCAGAACTCAGCATCTTCCCAGAGATGCTTGCCAAAGCCCACATTCCCCAGGCCCCAGCGCTGCATTTTCTGACCCCACAGGTCCAGGCTGTGGTCCGGGCAACATCGACGACACTCCCACATGATTCTGAGGCCCAGCCAGGTCGGGAGCTATGGCCCCCCAAACTCCCCAGGGCAGGGACCCCCATAACAGCACTGCTGACGGGAGCCAACCACCCTGCTGCCTGGATTCCAGGGCCTGGAACGAAGTGTTCAAGTCACTGGAGGGACCCAGATTTCCAGGGAGCCCTCCAGCCCACCCACCCCCACCGTGAACCCCTTCGCAAAGCCTATATTGTGTAAGAAGTGAACAGTCGCTGCCCGTTTCCTCTTTAGGGCAAATCTGAATATTCAGGCCACATATGCCAGGATTTTCTTGCTAGAAAGGTCCACTCCCCACCAGTCACATACACACACAGGCCCCTGGTGTCACTGTTCGCAGCAACCAGCCTGGTGTGGAAGCAGGTGAGGCCAGGGCTGGCAAATCCCTGCTGGCAAGGATCTCCCCCACTTCACCTCCTGCTTCCGTAACCTCTCCTGGGCACCCTTCCCGCCTACAGCCCCACCTGAGTCGGACGGAGACTTCGGCCTGTGGGCCCAGCATCCGGGCGACATGGTGATTGACACACCAAGCCCGTGGTGTGTGTGGTGTGTTGCTCTCGAAATGATCAGAACAGATGACCCCAGCCCATCCCCTCCTGCTTTCCCTGTCCACATACGCACAGAGCACGCTCTGGGTTCCCCGCCACGGACGGCCACAGACCCAGGTTCATATCCTACCTCCACCAACTTAAACTTTCTGTGCCTCCATTTCCTCATCTGTAAGGTGGGCACACGGAGTGCGCAGAAAGGTCTGCAGAGGGCAACTGCCACAGGATAAAGCCTCAGTAATGTCACCCCTAGGGCTAGCCTGGGGTCCCCAAACTTTGCCTCCACCCTCTCCCCGCCTCCCACAGGATGCCCTCCTCCCTCCGCTCTCCCTCACCTCCTCCCATCAGATCCTGGGCGGGTCCTGAAAATAACCAAATCCGGGGTTGCAGCTGCCCTGATGAGAGTGGATTTAGGGGAAACTCAACCATAGGAGATGATGTCTTAGAAAGGGTTTTATAAACTGTTGAGTGCTGCCTCCCACACGGACTGGCCAGGGTGGGAGCCGAGAGGAAGAACCCCTCCGACTCTCACTCTGGGGCCACTGACTGAAGGGACAGGGTCTTGGAGAGATCAGCCCCCTCGGACCCACCCAGGAGAAATCAGGCTGGGCCTGGCTGCCAGGCTGTCCCCACCTGCGGGTGCGGAGGGCGTGGCCTCTGTAGCCGCAGCCCCAGGCTTGGGCTCAGCCAGGGTGGGGCAGTCCCTGCAGGTCTTGGAAGGAGCACAGGGACTTCCTTGAATGGTGCAGCTGGAAAGGTCGCTCTGGGACGCCGGCCAAAAGGCGTCAGACCCCAGCCCCACTCCTCTCAGTAGGCTCTACTGGACCCGCTCTGGGGTCCAAGGGCAAGTTCAGGCCCAAGCCCATCCATTGACTCACTGTGTCCCCGGGCGCGGTAAAGTCTAAGAGTTACAGACAGAGCCCCTGAACATTTTTGTGTTGCCTCCCTGAGCCCCACATTGGTCCCCTCCAGAAGAGCGAGCATGGCCTGGGAAGGTCCATTTAAGCAGATTCCCTCAAGTGTAGTCTGGCTCCGGCATGTTGCTTAAGGCCACTGTGATTCCGTGACCCCAGTCTCACCGCGGGGTGGCTTCCTTCCTCCCCTCGGCCCTAGGCGCTGGCAGAGCATGAACTAACTGTCCTGGGGGGTGGACGCCCAGAGCCAGGCCCATGCTCCCAAGGCCTGCCCGCCTCTGCCAGGCAGGTCCCGCTTCCAGGTCACAGCAAACCACTCCCCACCCCCGCCCCCCCACCTCAGGCCACGGCTCTCCCACCTGCAGACCCTCCTGCCCACAGACCCAAAACTGTCTCCAAAACAAATCTATGCTAATGAGCTGCTGCAGGGCCCGCTGCACATCTGCTCAGCAGAAGTCCCACTGCAGACCTCACCGGCATCCCTGCCCACTCTGCAGCCTCCGACCCTTGGGGCTGGGGGTGGGGAGAAAGAGCCAAACTCAGTCTGAAATCTCACTTGAAAAGAATGAGGATATACCCGTGGCTAATGTAGACCACCTACTCCCCCCATCCACCCCTCCCAGGCGCAGGCCCAGGAGAAAGAGGTCCAGTTTGCAGGGGTGGCGGGGAGAGGGGCAAGGGTCACCAAGGAAATGATCCAGTCTTGCCTTTTCTTTGGCCCCAACTAAAGGCAAACCACACCCAAACAGCCCCAGCATCTGGGGGAGTTTCTGGAGGCTGGGGGTTTCCACAGTAACAAAGGGTGAGGGGCTCCTTGTTGACAAATTGCTTCCCCACTCCCCTCCCCAGCCAGCGCCCAGCCTTTGGCCTCCAGCCCTGACCTCTGTTTCCCTGGGGTTCCCGTAGTTACAGGCTTGTGTCCTCCAGCTGGGCGAGGGCCTCAGAAAGCCTGAAAATGTGCCCTTCTCCCCTGATGTCTGCCAACCCCCTGGCCAGGCCAAGGCGGGCAGCTGCCCCCTTTACAGTGGCTTGTAAAAGATCAGAATCGCCCCGCCCAGGGAGCGGGGCGGGCAGGTGGCCGGCAGCGGGGCCCCGCTGTCCGGGCCGCCTCGCGGGGGTGGAATTCTTAAGAAAACTGAGCCCCCTGAGCCCCCGGAAAGGCTGGCTCCCTCTGCCCCAGACTCAGTTCCAGGGGGATGACCCAGGCCAGGCCCCGGGGGCAGGCGGAAGGTAGGGGGAGGGTTTACGCGTCTTTTACCCGGTCTAGGAAACTATTCATGAACCCCACTGGGGGGGCTCGTGCCTCTGACACCGGGGGACTGTCTGAATTTGAGGGTGGAGGTCAGGGGGATGCACAGACACAAAGGTACCCCCTCCCAGAGGGGCAGAACCGAGAGACAGAGAGAACATAAAGGCATAAACCCAGGGAGGCTGAACACGAAGGCAGAAGGGGAGAAGAAACAGAAAGAAAGGGACCGAACAGAGAGGGGGACGGAAACAGAGAGACGAGAGACACGGGCAGTCGGATGGGGAGACAGAAAGACAGGGAGCGAGACAAAAAGGAGGCAGAAACGTACCGCAGCGGAGAGGCTCGCGGCGCGGCGAGGCCCGGGCAGAGCCGGGAAGACGCGCGAGCCCCGCGGCCGAGCTCCGGCCGCTGCCCCAGCGCCCGCGCGGCCCGACCCGCCCTCGACCCGCCCGGCGTGCGCTCGCCACGCACCTCCCTCCCTTCCTCTCCCGGCCGCCGAAACTCTCAGCAAGCGATGGAAAGCCCCGGCGAGTCCGGGGACGGGCTCGGAGCGCAGCGGTGCCCCCAGCCACCCCGTGCCGCGCCCACGTCCCCAGCCCCGGCGTCCGGAGGCGCCTCCGCACTGTGTCCCGGGGCTGCCGGGCGGGCCGGGGGCGCGGCGCTGCCCCTGCGGCCGAAGCCTCTGGAAGCCGGGCGCCCGCGTGCCGGCCCGGGCGGGACTTACCGCGCGCGGCGGCGGCGGCGGCGGCGGCGAGGAGCGCGGCGCGCCCGCCGGTTCCCGCGGAGCTGTCTGCGGGCCGCGGGGGGCGGCAGGCCCGGCGCCCCCCGGGAGGCTCGGGAGGCGGCCGGCAGGGCTGGCGGCGGCCCCGCGAGGCTCGGCTGGGCTGCGCTGCGCGCCGTCTGCGGCCCCGGGCGGGCGCGCGGTGCGGGGGAGCGGCGAGCGGAGCGGCTCCGACGTCAGGGGTGTCTCCGCTCCAAATAGGGAGCGAGGGCGGGGGCAGCGGAGGGAGGGACGCGAAAAAGAAAGAGCGGGCGGGCGCGCACGGCCGCTCCCTCCGGGCTCGCGGGAGGGGGCGCCCCGGCCGCCCGGCCCGGCCCTTCTCCCCGCCTGCGAGCCTCTGGCCGGCCTGCGCGGCGATCCGACGGCGCGGCGGAGCTGCGGGGCCGCCCGGGACGGCGCCCCCGGGCCGGCGCCCCCGGGCAGCGGGCAGAGAGCCCGGCGCCCCGACCCCTTCTCAAGCACCCTCCGCCGGCTTTCTCTGCGCGCCCAACTTCCCTCCGCCTAACTTTTCCCGACCCTGGCCAGGCCTCAGGGTGACAAAGATGGAGGTCTTCCCTTTTGCGGGGACCCGGGCGTTGCGGTCTTGCTCCGAGGCTGTGGCGCTCCAGTCCACCGAGTCCCGGCACTGGGCGACCGTCCCGGTTCTGCAGTCCCGCGGGGCGCCCCACCTATCGGCTCTCCGGCAACTCAGGTCCAGCTCTGGGGACCCCGCTGCCCCTCGCCCTCCGCCCAGTCTCCTCTCAGCTCAGGCACCGGTGTGGGCATCCGGAGAAGGCGGTGAGAGGCCCGGAAGGACTCAACAGAACGAGAGCGCCGACCACCGGACTCGCTTCTCCGGCTCCCGGGAAGGGCAGGACGCAGGCCCGGCGCCCAGCGTCGCCTCGGCGGTCCAACTCACAGCCCGCGGCTGTGCCCCCACTGTTCCGTGTGCTCTCAGGGGAACGAGGAAACAGCTTAGCTCCTGGAAAGTGGTAGCCCAGGACACAATCGGGGGACCTGCACATTTTGCTTTCTATCAGAGTTGTGCGTGTCCGTCTATTTTACCCCAGACCGATCATTGTCACGGGTGGCCGAGCATCCCGGGTGGCTCCAGTCGGCCTGCTGGTAACTCCACGGTGTGCTCCGGTGATTCCAAACCCAGACGCATCCCCATGCCTCCTAGCTCCCACTTAGGCTGTTTCCTCTGCCTGCAGTTCCCTTCTCCTTTCCTCTCCTGGCAAAGGCATTCCTTGAGCACCAGATTGGAAAGACTTCCCAAGACCCTCGGAGAGCCTAAACCTCTCCTTCCTCAGGTGTGATCCTTGGCATGGAAAAGAAGTCTGGCAATTTCCCAGACTGGCAATTTCTAGCTGTCTGGGCACATCTCTTTCCTCCATTAGACCGCAGGCACCTTGAGGGCAGTGATGGCTGGTTTATTTCAGTGTCCCCAGTGCCTAAGGACGTGTCCCCGATATATTTGGCTGAATGGAAGTAATTATTAACCGCCATTGAGAAGTGTTCCCAGGAGAATAACAAGAATAACAATCCTACAATATAGAATGTGTTTCTTACTTGTGATGGGTATTTGAGCTCACACATACTGAGCCCCTGAGTGGGTGCCTGCTCCCTTTCTGGGCACTTGCCACCTGCACAATAACTCTAGAAGATAAACAGTATTGTTATCCCCATTTTATCAGTGAAAGGAGAAAGACCTAGAGAGAGGTTAAGTAACTGGCATAAAGTCACACAGCAGGAGATGAGGCCAGCTACTGTCTGTTGGGTGACCACGACCTGCAGAGCCTAGCCTCGTTGCCTGGAGCTCAGTAGGCACCCGGGAAAACTTTACTGTTGTGCTTACCGGCACCATTCTCAGTGCAGACTCTGGGTAGGGTGGGCTGTGGATCTCTGCCGCTCCAACACTCAGGAAGCTAATTGTGTAGACTCATGAGCTTGTCGGAGGGCACAGAGAGCAGGGAGTAGAGTCCTTGACAGTTTAGACATGACTCTCCCAAATCCAGGGATGTTCAAGAACAGTCCCAACCACCTAATCAAGGACATGGGGCTTGGTGTTGAGTCACCCCTGCCTGGGGAAGACCGGTCATCACAGAATGACCACAATATGCTCAGGGGGTCTGGAAGGTGATGTGTCGATAATACCAACAGCCACTGTTACATGCCCGGTATCATGCCAAGCACTCTGCCCGCTTTATTGTATCGAATCCTTACCACAGTCTCCACATTATCCCTGGCTTAGAGGTGAGAAAAGTCGAGTCCTCAGGAAGTGGAGTGACCCACCCAAGATCACACCACTAGTGAGAGTCGAACTTGAACCCAGACCTGACAAGTCCAAAGCCTGTGCTCCTTTGCCTGCCACACCCTCTTGGCTGCCTCAGAGCCTCTCCCCATCAGGCTGCGGTGAGGAGACTATACCCCCGGGAGCCGGGGTGACGGGGCCCCTGCAGGAAAGGCAGAACCTGTCACGCCAGAGTCCCCGAGCTCACGGACCTGCACCTGGTCGTCAACAGCCCGCCAGTTGCCCCGACAGGCCTGGCTGGCACAGGGCACGGGCCCGAAGCCAGAGCCTGCTGGCCCCCGGCCAGCCTCTGGGGGCCGAGTAATGTGGGGCCCAGAGCCGGGGTAGAGGGCTGAAAGCCTCTCTCCCCAGCTCATTAGCAAACATCTGGGCTCAAGAAAATGACCGACCTGGAATGTGGCTGGGCTGTGGGGAGCTGCTCCCTCCCTGAGTCCAGGGAATGTGAGCTCCCTCCCGCAGGGCACGGGCTCGGGCCAGCTGTTTCCTCTAATCCCGTCAGCCTGGCCTGGACAGGGGTGCAAACCTCTGCACTCTCCTGGAGAGTGAAAACAAGCAGAAGGCCTTCCTTCCCAGTGCGGCCCACTCAGTCAGAGGGTGGGTGATGGGTACCCCCCTCTGCCCGGAGAGCAGCACAGGGTCGCCCTCTTCTATGAAATAAAGACCAAGCATTTCCACACATCCATGATCGCAGTTGGGAGGGGCCGCCAGGACTCATCACAGAAGGTTCTGGAATCTTCCTCCTTGGGTCAGAATCCTTGCTCCATCACCCGCTGACTCTGGGACTCCGTGCAAGCTGTTTCCTGCCTGGGCCTTGGTTTCCTTCCCTGCAAAGTGCAGCTGGTCATGGTACTCCACAGGGTCGTTGGTCAGCGCTCATTCATTATGTAACAGATACGTAGCGTGCCTACTACGTGCCACACAGTGTGGAGGACACGACAGCGCACCAGACCAGTAAGGTCCCAGCCTCGAGATGCGTGTGTTCTGCACAGGGAGCAGAGTCCAAGGGAACAGACAAATGGGTTTCTCATCGAGTGCTCTGAAGGGACGAAGGAAGCCAGAGGGGGTGTTGGGCTGAGAGAAGCCGCAGGAGGGGCTCAGAGGTGATGTTGAAGGTGAGGTTGTGATAAGGAGCCAGGACTCCAGGAGATGAATGGATGCTTGGTACAGTTTCTGGAAAACAGCGCGTTGGAAGGCTCGTGTACAGCAGAGGGGAGGCGGCGGTCAGTTCCCCTGGACCACAGCTGGGCTACAGCACAAAGCTTCCTCCTCTGACTCAATTAATACACTTCTGAGCCTCAGTTTTTTCATCTGTGAAATAGGAATTTTAACAGTGCCCAACCGCAGGCTTACCGAGAGCCACGCACACCAAGCCCAGAGCCTGGCACGGGCTCCCCTTCCAGGAAGGGGGAGCGGCTCGTGTATTCACCCCTCCCACGGAGGAAAAGGATTTGCCTACGTCTGCCCTGCGAGTCAGGATCAGGTGCAGGCGCAGAATCAGATATTCTGACTCTGAGCCCGCCCCCTGGGCTGTGTCCCCTGGCCTCTTCCTTCCCCTGTCTCTGGAGGCTCAGGAGGGCTCTGGGGGCCCCATGTGGGAGGACAAGAAGGTGGCCATGCACTGCAGAGTCTGGTGCAGAGGTGTGTCCTTGGCTGGATGGGAGAGCATGAATGAGGCCCCCGGGGGGAGAGCCCTCGGCCCTGTGGACAAATTTGAAAGGGGTGGGAGGACAAGAACCAAAAAGAGGGATCAAGTGCTAAGAATGGGGGAGATGAGGGGAGAGAAGAGAGTCAGAGACAAGAACTGAATCCTGGGAATTTTTGAGTGGAAATTTCAGCCCAAGTCCCTCTGACCCCAGCGGTTGCCGCTTTCCACTCGAGAGGCAGGCAGCCTGGCACGGTGGTCGTGTCTGTTCACTCCACTGCAACAGTGAACAACCTGGTGTTGCCAGGGATGGGGTGCCAGGGGCTGTCCCCAACCACCCCCTTGCCCCTCATTTGTTTGCTTTCTCCCTCCCTCCACCCTCTCTCCAAACTGCCACCTCCATGTGGCAGCAAAAGAGCCAGGCTGTCCGGAAATGGGCATGAGTGTCTCACCCTGCTGCTCGTGGTAAGCACTAAACAAGGTTGCCATGGCGGGGCCCACACAGGGCGCGTCCACTCCTCGACTGTGTCATTTGTCCATTGTTCCCTTACAGCGTTTCTTCCACTGCTCGGTTCCCAGCGGCCACACAAACCCACAGAGAACAGAGCTTCTCTCCCTCCTCAACAGTTGATGCGCATTTAAAATCCTACAGAACAGCTTTTTCTTCCTTAAGGTTTTTGTGCTCTAGATAATTCATTGAAAAACCCCCTTTTTAGGAATGTGGGGATTGGGGGAGCAAAAGAAGGCACAAGAGAGTATCATCTGGGTGTCTGTCCAGCCCTTCCACTAGGGCGACGGCCTCCGACTATATCTACAAATAACCAGGGTTCTTGGGGAGCCTGGGTGGCTCAGTCAGTTAAGTGTTTGCCTTTGGTTCGGGTCATGATCCCAGGGTCCTGGGATCAAGTCCCACATTGGGTTCTCTGCTCAGCGGGGAGCCTGCTTCTCCCTCTGCCTACCACTTGTTCCACTTGTGCTCCCTCTCTGTCAAATAAATAAATAAAATCTTTAAAGAAAATAAAAAACAGAGTTCTCTCGCGATGAGTGGTTCTCCGAGAACCTGCCCTCCTGGCCAGAGTGGCGGGACCAGAGTGGACAGCAGAGCGAGGCTGTGCCAATCGAATTCTCTCCGAAGATTCTGAACTGTAAGGCCCAGGAGCCGTGCTGGGCAGCTGAATCTGGG